CTAGCATGTTGTACATTGTTCATGATACAATTCTCCTCTATGCTATCAAACAAACTACAGTTGATTGTTACATCAATTCTTCAGTAAAGAACAAAGTCTACAGCGTTATCCATTCCACTGCTTGTTTCATCTTCTGATTTGGGTACCTTTTCTTAGAAGAGGTTTTTGTGTGGCTAATGTCAACTGATATCACTTCGTGCTGAAGTGTATTATGTTGCTCTCCATATAACACTTACATCTGTATTTATAGCAAACTCTTTGGATATATATATATATATATATTTATTCGAACATTTTCTATTTTGTAACAAGCGTACCCTAATATACTTAACATCACTCTCGCAGAATTTTGGTCTTTCAGCTCGACCACTTCTGTTAATAACAGTGCCAGTTTCACGTATGGTCGTTAGAAATATCCTTGACCAACGAAATGTTTGATTACCTATACGCTTGTCATGCGGTATTTTAGGCCTGAGAGTCATGCCTAGATTCACACTAAAGCTATTAAACATAATATGATTGCATATACTTTTATATGCTTTATGTTGATATAGCACTTTCTGGTTGGCTGGATGGCAACAAATCACAGTGTAAACTATCAACATTTACGGTACACTGTTGCGTCTCATTTGTACAATATAAAGAAGTAGTTTCCCCTTTTGTTCCTTTTTCCTTTCAGTTTTTCTAATTATCCCCATTGGTCCTGCATGGCCAGGTGGTTCGCATGTTCGAATCCCCGTCCTACCAAACATGCTCGCCCTTTCAGCCGTGGGGGCGTTATAACGTGACAGTCAATCGCACTATTCGTTGGTAAAATAATAGCCCAAGAGTTGGCGGTGGATGATGATGACTAGCTGCCTTCCCTCTAGTCTTTCACTGCTAAATTACGAACGGTTAGTGCAGATAGCCCTCGTGTAGCTTTGCGCGGTATTCATACCAAAACAAACTAATTATTCCCGACACTGTATCTCTACTGCATATCTTCTGTTTACATCATCTACACTAATTTTGAAATTAAACTCGCATATGACTGTTTACAGAAATTACAACTTTATTTCAGTTACTAACAAGCACATAATTAGAATACAATATCACTGGCAATGAGTCGTTTCGGCCGCCTGTGTTCTTTTAATATAGCTCTAGAAATAAGTGGAATCTCAAAACTTAAACAATTGAATTCTCTTCGACCTAACATTCTCTAGAAATAGTTTTCTGTATCATAAGGTCCTAGAAATCTGAGATAAGGAAGCATAGCTACCGAAAGCATGCATACAGTTGGTCAATCAAATAGGGTTATAGCATCGCATTGTTTGTTAGGCAAACTTTATGCCTGCATACAAGTTTTTAGAAGATGCGGAACGCTTATTTGTTTGTTGTTAAGCGCAAAGCTACACAATTGGCTATCTGTGCTGTGCCCACCACCGATATCGAAACCTAGTTTTTTAGCGTTATAAGCCTTCAGATTTACCGCTGAACCACTAGGAACCCCTCGTGTCAATTCTTTTTTTTATCATTTTTATTAAACCACCTCGTGAGCACCAAACACAAACGTGACGAAAAACTCAACAGAAACATGTTTGTTTTATCGCTTTTTCAATTTATCTGTTTTAAGTAAATTGCTTTGTTTGAGGTAGCATATCTTTATCAATATTTGAAATACGAGATTCTTCACAATACATTTTTTTGTTTTTCGTTTGACAGAACTACTATGGAGCAGCTAAAGCCATTTTCTCGGACAACCCTCTAGGCTTAACGTGTGGTATGGTTTGTCCAACTAGCGACCTCTGTGTTGGTGGCTGCAACTTGTATGCTTCAGAGGAAGGACCTATTAACATTGGAGGGCTTCAACAGTTTGCTACAGAGGTTCGACATACTTAACTTTTAAGTTTGAAAAGTATTAATGTATTTGTTTAAAAATATGTAACAAAAGAGTTTACTTTTATTTCAGACTTGTATTTTACTAACGGTAACAGTGAATTATTAACAGTTACGACACGATTTTCTTTTAGGAAAAGCAAAACGACAACAAAAAATTTACACAAGACAAAGTATAATCATATGTAAACCATAATTAGTAATTAAAAATAATGATATTTTATCGCGACAATATATTACAGAATCTTCATAGAAACTTTTTATAGTTTACCTGCTACTCATAATTAAGACTGTTCATTATTAATTGTTATTGGAGGTTATTAGTAACTCTTCTGGTAGTAGTTATTACATGATAAGTGTTTGTACGTGGAAACACACACCATGGATGCATCATAGGAGTGTGACTATTACTAAATTAAGAAGTACAAATTAAGGGAAACTTAAGTTAAAACTACTTTACATTTACCAATGCCATGAGTTCCTGCGACTCATCCATATAAAAGAGTATAATAAAGCTGCCAAGTCACCAGATGTCTCTTCTGAAAAGTTGATTTTTCTTATTACGTTTTATGTTATATCTGAGATTAAATTTACGGTTGGCTGATAATATTTTTATCTAGCATTTTTCTTAATTATTCGTTTCGGATTTCGAATCTGTCTTTTGCTTGTCACATCACTTACTCGAGGTCCGCGAATGACTAGTTAAAAGAAATACGAGGAAGAAAAAAACTTTTGTTAGGAGTGATTGTAATCACTTTTGCTTAGTCTAAAAAACCCCATTGCGTCGCCAACTTAGGCGTTACTACTATAGATCTGAAATTAGCCTTGGAAACTAGAATATGAAGCATTGTTTTAACGTCCTCTTTTTCGTCCTATTGACAGTGTATTACAAAACTTAAGTGTATATCACATTTCTAAATAATTAAGAAACAACAACAAAGTGAGTATACAGTTAGTTAAGTTCAACAGACGCTTTCCGATAATGAACCTCTGTTCACACAAATTTAATATTCATTTTTTTTATTCAAAGGAAGAATAACTTACATGAAATTAAAGAACAACCTTCAACGTATGACATTACAAGTTTTTGAAAGCAAATATTTTTGTGTCACAAAATTTATTTTTTGAACCAATATCATTTTAGTTCTTAAAAGAATAAAATTCGGTCAATACGAGTGGTATTTATTAAACAATATCTCTTGAACGTATTAAATCAAAATTTTCTAATATGTATTATTAGTGTATTCGTGATTTTTTCAGGTACATTTATAACTTACAAGTAAGAATAATAACGCAATCAACAGAGGAACGAGAGAATTGAAAGAAGAAACTGTACACAAAATTGGCAGCGAAATGAAAACACAATATTTTACTAATCTCACTCTTTACTAATCTCACAAAAACAAATATAATTGAGCAGGACACGTGCATTGTATGAGACAGTACTACTTTATAAATGGAGACGGTTCTTATCTGAAGAAATTCTGGATTGTAATCTGAATCAGGCTGAGAGTATTATCCACGGTATCGATATCACAGTAGAGTCATCTCTTCAAGATAACACTAATCATCCACCTAGCTTGGACATTCCATAATTTAAAACAGTTATTTCTAAGCTTCTACACAGCTAACATACATGGTACTGAACTATACAGTTCTCCAATGACAACCTCTATGGGAGAGGTTGGCAACACTAATGTGGAATGACCTAAGACAATGTGTAATCAGGACAACAGTAAGTTAATTAATGGGACTTTCCATACGTGTGTAGAATTTAAAGTTCACAGGAGTGAAATATTTTGAAAATTTCGGTGAACAAATATGTTCTCTTGTTTAAACTAAAAGGAAAAAAAACATTTGGTTTGTGAAACACCAATATTTGAAGATTTTTAAATCTATTTCCTGTGTTACAAGTTAATGCTATATTTTCTTTTAAAGTCGCATTGTGTGTTCAAAATATGAAATTATGTAAATCCTTGTCATTTGCACCATAAGTTTACTTTGATTTCATTACAAAGAGCCGAAGACTATTAGTAAAATAACAATAACAACAGGGACGGAAATGTCAGGATATTAAATAATTTTTAAATTGTTAATTTTTAACATAACACAATTTTTTGTGATTTTCAAAAGAAATTTTATTCTATGGCGGAATAATACTATTTAAATAGTATCTTTTCTGAAACTTAACAACTTCTGTGACAAAACAGTGTTGTTTTAAAAAACATGGCTTTAAAAGGGAACTTTTCTTGTATTGCGACCTTTTTTTCCATACTTACTTAGCTGGTAAATCGGGGACCAGCTGATTCATACTCATTATTTGTTTTTCTTAGTACATGCGTAAAATTAAAAATTATAAAACACAGTTAAAGAAATTTAATAACTCGAGCATTTTTAAAAGGCAGATCTACCCCTGTAGAAAGAAGTTCAACTTCCTGAAAGCGTATGGATATTGATAGTTTTATGTAACAGTTTGATACTTTTAAACAATGCCTTTTTTAGGTTTTCAAAGCCATGAAGATCCCCCAGATCCGTCCTCCGGAAATCCCTCCTCCAGAAGATCTTCCTGAAAGTTATCGTGCTAAGGTGGCGCTAGTGGGATGCGGACCAGCTAGTATCAGCTGTGCTAGTTTTCTTGCCCGACTAGGTTACTCTAAACTCATTATATTCGAGAAGGAAGAATATCATGGAGGTCTGAGGTAGAAACTTTCATGATTTTAAAATTATGCACGAGACCCTAACAGCGCTGTAGTGTATTTATAAGTTATAATAGTTGACTTTTACATACTTACAACACTAAAATTTGGGATTCGATTTGCTTCGGCGTACAGAGTGCAAATAGCCCAGTTTGTAGCTTTATACTAAAAAACAACAACATTATTATAATTGATTTATGATATACAATAAATCTAATAACTACTGAGACGAAGATAGTGTTAAACTATGGGAGTTTATATAAACAAATACATACATGATCATAGGGTCATGAGAAATCGCTCGTCCCAAAGATCAATAATGTAAGTTTGTTCGAATAAATATATATTTAACGTAAAACACCATCTCTGAAGTGTATGTTAGCTGTAACTTGATCAAAATGCACTATTCAGTATATATAGAAAACATTATCATACCTCTAAGAGAAATTTGGAAAAGACTGGCCCCTGCATGGCCAGGTGGTTAAGTGAATTTTTGCATATAATTGTATTTTTGTGAAACTTTACAGCAAATTCGGAAACTGGATAAAACACTGATGTGTACAAACTCGTAAAGATTATTTTGTAATCTTCATTGTTTTTAACGTAAATTGGGCATTGGGTTTTTAAAGTATAACTTCAGTAATTTTCTACCTCCCACGTAATTTCTAATAAAAAGTGGTTTTGAAAATATCCATATGCCAGCTTCCTTTAAAATTCATTGATCTGTCTCGGCATGGCCAGGTGGTTAGGGCGCTCGCCCTTTCAGCCGTGTGGGCGTTATAATGTGACGGTCAATTCCACTATTTGTTGGTAAAAGAGTAGCCAAGAGTTTGCGGTGGGTGCTGCCTACCCTCTAGTCTGACACTGCTAAATTAGGGACGGCTAGCGCCGATAGTCCTCGTGTAGCTTTGCGCGAAATTCAAAAACAAACAAACTTTACGAGTAGACTTACTTTTAACCCTGGAATGAAAATCAAACACATTTATTGACATCATATAACGAACCCACCCCGCCAATAAACATTTACAAAATACGGTGTAGTAATTATCCATCTTTTTACGTAGGTGAAACAGGGTGTAATTTGAATATCTAGTTAAAAGAAAACCGAAAATCCCTTTCCACGTCCATGAACATATGAAAAAACAACCAAGGTTTTTCTGAACATAATGTGGCCTTACTAAAACATGAACCTAATGTTAACATAAGAAAAAATCATAGAAGCCTTATTGATAAAATCAAATAATCCCACAAACAACAATCCACGACTTTATATGTTTGGGAGTGTTATCTTCCCATATTCCTAGTCTTACCCAAATTTTCAAACAATATCTTCCATGTATGTATTTCAATTCATGCGTATCGATATGCACGTGCATAAGGAACAACTATAGATTCTCTAATTTAAATGCATTCTTATATTTTTAAACACTTAAAAATAAACGACCTTGTAACCCCAAATTTGTTATTTTTCTTTAATTGGACACTCAACGTTTCGCTTTACAGCTTCTTTAGGAGCGTTCCGCTAAAACACAAACAGTAACTAATAGCACAAAGTTTCAAATTAAATATACATACATGTATAACTTTAGGACTGGTTGACAGTCCTTCGTCCCCTGATAAGTGTTAGTGATATAATTAATTCTCAGGATAGGTCTGGAAAAATCAATATTTTCAGTTTGTGACACCTGTAAGGTAAAGTGTTAAATAAGTATAACGAATTATTCTCATACGTACCAGAAGTATTACAGTTCCTGTTATTTCCTATTTTAACATCTTATTGCAGTGCTACCGATACTGAAGCTTTACATGTATATAAAGACAGTCCCTTCATTCGAAACTTACGAGTCAGCCCCTTAATTACAGTGTTATATTTTTGTGAACATTAATGAAATTCTATATTTTTTTGTACAAAGAGATATGATTCACTATTTTGACTTTAAAAATCAAACCCTACTCCATCCCGTAGAAAAATTACTTATTTGTATTTGTCTGTTCTTTACCTTGCGTAAATACTTTTAGCCGCGGCATAATGGCTCATAGAACAGCTCCGAATTTATCAAGCACAAACTTTGAACTCATAGCTCCGTCATCTTTTGATCGATTTGAGATCTAATTACAGTTTTGGACTCAGGAGGTCAAACCCTTTCGATTGATGTATTTTGACCACACCCAAGGTTTCGTAGATTAATTTATTCTAATCCTGCCTAAAAGAAGCTCAGTTTGAGGGTAGGCTGGTAGACATCCTGGTGAGTAATAAAATCGTATCAGGTATACGCGTGCCCCACTCTTGGTATTGCTGGCGTACAAAAAAAAAACTAATAAAAAGGGGAGGGGGTGAAAGGTCTGGTAGATTAATTTACTCTAATCCTGCCTAAAATAATTTCAAGTGTCGCGGCTATTGAGGATACCCTCTTGTGTCTTGGATATTTGTTATGCCAAACGTCATCGTTATACATACATTTTGATAGAATTTCACCATTCTTATCTGTCTAATTATGATTCTAGCTTCGTTTTTGATTAGATGGTAACATTCAATGGATTTGTGTTGTTCTCTCTTCATACTTTGTTGATGTTGAGTTTTGAACACAACCGTTTCCCTGATTATGTAATTTATTACATCCACTTCCCAATTTGATCTTTATATATATTGAAGTGGCTATAAATATCTTATTGTAAGAAGAAGTTATTTTTCAAAAAATATATTAATTTTCGATCTCCCTTCACGGTCCGTTTGGCGCCGTGATCTTTAGGTGCACACATTAATGTATAAATAGTACAACAATATGTACAGAGTAGTACAATTGTTGAAATATAGCACTTTCATCAACCATAGTAAGGATTCCCAAACTGAGGGCAAAGAAAGTGTCAGGGGGTCGAATCAATACAAAAAACACGTTTCTGCTATTGTGCTCCATTTCCACAGATTCATTGGTGGGGGAAGGCTCAGTCAGGCTTGCGGAATGTTCTAGATACCAAGAGAGATTACAACATTGTAACAAAGAACATTATACTGAATATGAAGTACATTCACAATACTTATTCAGCTTTCAGTTGTTTAGTTTTAATGACTTCTGAATGTAAGTAACTGATATATATATATATATATATATATC